GTTAAATCCCCCCCCCCCCCCTTTACCGTTTTACTTGATGGTGTTTTGATGGACACGGAGTTTAATGTGCTAAGTTGACTTACACGCCATACTAGTAATAGAAGAACATATTAAAATAATGGTTGAAAAACCAATTTGATAAGAGAAAATACTACCCCGTGAAATTAGCCGAAGTGCGCACAAGCTGGTCCGGACACCACGATTATTAAAAAAAGAATTTGAATGTTGAAGTTTTGAAAGTTGCACAGAAATAGAATGGATCAAATATTTCGCACCAAAGAGCAAAGAGTGTTACATTAACTGGAAGAGACTAACCTCCTGAATGTCATTCAGCGCTAATGACTCAAAAGCAACTTTTGCAGCTGCATGTTCAGCTTCCTTCAATGTAGAGAAGAACTCCTGAGTTTCATAAGTTTTTCCATCAATAGTCACTTTTGACCTAAACCGATGGGCGTGCGGAGGGCCATCAAGTTCAGAAGAATACACGGGTAAAGTGAGATTTTGCTTTTGGGCATACTGTTGTAATCGATTCTTGTATAGATGAAGCATCCCTGCAACATGGATGAAGTTGTAAGAGTTAGAAACTTGACATAAAAGTATGAGAAATATCTAAAGTCAGTCAGATGAACTTAAAGGCATTCGCACATTCTTGAAGAGTTGTTCAGAAATGAGGCATCCAGAAATATGAAATATGAAATTCTTCAACAATATCTCACAAAGCTTCCAAGCAAATATATTACTGTTTAGCTACGATAAGATCAAAACATTATCCGTCTTCTTCAGCAACTTTCTCTTATGAATTTGAAGCTCTGTAGAGATTCACGGAATTCAATCACTGGTAAATTCCCTCACATGCCAACTCTCATTTTGATAAGAAGATGAATTATAAATATGCGAGCAATGAGTAATCAAGTACAGCAAGAAGAACAAAATATTTTTAAAAGCACAATGGAAGGAAGGAACATCTGAAAGAAATTGCTAAGAGATATCATTTAAGATCCACTAAAGCCACCATATAAAATTAATGTGCTCACAAGATAGAGATACCAAGAACACTATTGCACTGGACCATCAACTGCATGCTGATATAGATTGAAAAAGTTACATTGGTCCAGTTGACGGATAGGTTGAACCTTCTACTTATCTAGAATTAGAAGTAAGCGACATTTCCAAAAATTTCCTTTCCAGGTTTAGGCTGTATATGTCAAATCTCAACTGCTTACACATGCTTTCTTCCAGGTACTGATGAAGTAATAACTCATAAAATCCAGAAGGAAAAAGATCCATTTACCAGGTGTTCCAATTTGCTGAATGGACTTATGCTTTCACCCATAACTGTAGGTTTATCGCTCTTCTTGTCAGAGTGATTTACCTCAGTTTTAAGTGGCATGTATTCAGTTTGAAGCTTTTAAAGGATTAGGTAGAATATTGTACAATTGCCACAGCAACAACAACAACATACCCAGCATTATCCCACACCGTGGGATCTGGGGAGGGTAGTGTGTACGCAGACTTTACCCCTAGCTTGTGAGGATAGAGAGGCTGTTTCCAATAGACCCTCGACTCAGGAAAGCATAAGCACCAGATTAATAAAAATATAGACAAGAAGGGACAGTACCAAAAAGCCATACAAAAGTAGAATAAAAACAACAAGATAGTAAGGACAATTGCCACAGCAGTAATACAAAAAACCAACACGAAACAGAGCTAAAAGAAGAGAAAATAGTGAGAAAGATGCAACTCAGCAGGGCAAATAATCATCGACTTCTATGCCGCAGAACATAACCTTAGAACCAATACAGCCTCCAAAAACCTCAAGTATACTAGTATCAAAGTATGGTTGAGAAGCATGAAATCTACTGTTTCTTTAATGGCCTTGTTCCTTTTTTCAAGTTCCTGATAGTAGCTCAGCGTTTAAATGCAATATGTGCAAAACATATAGAGAATAAATACACCATTAATAAGCAACATAATCACACAAATAAAATAAATTGCTTAACCAGTAATTACTGGTCCTTAGTCATATACAACAAATCCCATCCAGAACTATCAACTATAACATCAAGCAATGACCATAATTAGCATTGCATTTAACTTTAGAGGGTTAGCCGGAGAGGAAGCCGGACCATTTCATCACATCTTCAATGCACTGGAACCAACTTTGACCTCATCATTTTCACTGTGGTACATTCACATTTAACTCTTTTATTGTTATTATTATTCCCTTTTGACAAAGCATTCACAGTTACTCTTGTCGTTATCATTTACCCTTTTGACAAATATTTAAAACTTTTGTCATGAAAACATAGACTTTTTGTTTCTTCATAGCTTTTCCAAAGAAGCCAAATAGATTGCAATCAAAAGTTATTCACCAAATTGTAGAAATTCATATGATTTTTACATTTCATTCGCTTACTATATCAGGAGAAAAAAGCTGATTATGAACGGGGGGATCGAGATGAAATTACATGAATGAGAAAAAACATCTTAGATAAAAATAGGGCACCATGACTGACCATTTAGAAAACAGACGAACTGCTCGTGAAGTTTTACATGATCAAAACACTTGCTCACTAAGATGGACAGAGACATTGGCTTAATAAATGTGGAATAAAGGAAATTGCAAGCTGAACTGAATGGAAACAATTGTACAAAAAATGTGGAAAAATGAAAACAAGGAGAGGGTTTGAATCTGGGTTTGAGAAGGAATTTTTTTTAACAGGAAGAAAGAGTGGCTTCCTGATGGAAAACAATTGGAAGTCTGAGGTTGTTGCCTGACAAAGAAGATCCTCTGTCATGGAAAGGGGACTGCTTTTTTTTTTTTTTACCAACGCACAAAGAAAGTATTTTGTTGCGAATGAACAAGATATTGAGGAATTATCCATACGTAAAATCAGAATTATTGATACGGGCATCTTGTGTTCCAATAGAAGCAGAAGTGATGTGGATTATTCAAGAATCGAATTTCCTTCAGATTGAGCCGACATTCGTTACGGTTGTCATTCAATTGAAAGCATCTTCATTCCAGAACCGTACATGAGATTTTCACCTCATACAGCTCCTCCTGTATGTGCATAATGAGAATAATACATAGAATCAAAAAAGAATCAACGATGAAAATATTCTCATTATGAACTCGGCAGGGCTAGTGTAAGGGTGGTTCTAGTTATAGTCCCGAAACAATTCGTGTATACATTTTACAGAAACGTGAAATCAAAGTAGGCGATAAAGTAGCTGGAAGACACAGAAATAAAGGTATCATTTCCAAAATTTTGCCTAGACAAGATACGCCTTATTTACAAAATGGACAAGAAGTGCAAAGTTCACTACAAAATGCTACAACATTCTGCCAAAAGGACCAAATGCAAAAGAAAATAGGCCTTGGAAGGCAGTATGAACACTAGAGCCGTATCCAGAGTTGCAGTTTTTGGTTAGATTGCTATTAGTATTGCCTGCCCAAAAGAAATTGAAAGCTGAACTGAATGTGGAATAAAAGAAATTGCAAGCGAACTGAATAGAAACAATTGCACAAAAAATGTGGAAAATGAAAACAAGGAGAGGGTTTGAATCTGGGTTTGAGAAGGAAATTTATTTTACCGAGGCGCAGAAAGAGTGGCTTCCTGATGGAAACAATTGGACGTCTAAGGTTGCTGCCAGACAATTAAGATCCTCTGTCATGGAAAGGGGACAAGAAGTGCAGTTCACTATAAACTCCTACAATATTCTGTCAAAAGGACTAAATGCAGAAGAGAATAGGCCTTGTAAGGCAATATGAAGACCAGCTAGAGCTGCAGTTTTGGTTGAATTGCTATTAGTGTTGCCTGCCTAACACAAGACAACCTACAAAGTAGAGGATATAACATTTAGCAAAGAGGCTATTTATGTAATTACAAGCTGAATCGCGGGAACACTTGTTATTGCAATGTAGATATTCATGGGAAGAATGGCCCATGTTCTTGAATATATTTTGGGGTGAAATGGGTGGCCCCTTTATAAATAGCAGATGCAGCAAGAAGCTGGAGTGATCAGTAGATCAGAAGGGAGCTCAAATGCATCTGGAAGACAGTGCCTCTATGCATTTTTCTATAATTTGGAAGGAGAGGAACTATAGGTGTTTTGAAAATCAAATATTCATCCCTACCATGTACACAATTTAGTGTTTTGCAGTCTCTATAATCTTGCTGTAATATGAGAGATACTTAAGGTGTAAATGCTTTTGTGGGCATTCTAAACTCCATACAGATTTGAGGGTCTAGAAATGCTTGTTTCTATACATATTAGCACATTCTTGGTGCCTAGCAATAAAATCCACATTCTATCCAAAAAAATATGAATGAAAACGAGGTGAATGTTTTATTCTAACCTTTCGAGGTATTAGCGTCCCTACCAGCCAATGGAGTTCCATTGACACGAGAAGGTTGTCCAACGTTATTCTGTCTTTGCTGGAAAATATCCATATTTGGAGGTCTAACATCCACCTTACTGCTTGATGTTGAAGCGCCTGCCCAACTAAGTAAAATGTAACAAATTAACAATATCAAGGCAATTTTCCAAATACCGCATAAGTATTCCCATTAAATGAAAACGAATATTTTTTCTTGTGTGGTTCTTTTTTTCAGTTGACTAACTTGATCATCAAAGATAGAGACACAGCACAAGCTTTGGCTTAAACAGTTAGACAAGCAGCAAAAATAACAATAGTAAAATTATATTCTTATTCAGTTAATTCAATTTACTAATTGGTAAAACAAAAAAATATTTTCAAAACATGAAAAGAACTTGGATATTTGTCCCCATGTTCTAACAAAGTAATGTAACCAGGAGGTCAAGGGTTCATGCTGTTGAAACAACCTCCGGAAGAAATGCAAGGTCGGGCTGCATACAATAGACCCGACGTGGTTTGACCCTTCCTGCGCATAGCTGAGGCTTACTGCACTAGGTTGTCTGTTCCTTTTTAAAAAAAAAAAGGAAAGTACCAAACCAGTTAGGTAAACAACTCCTCCCTCAGACATTGTTCCCGATTACCTTTTAGTGATCAAAACTTGACCATATTCCGAAAACTTAGACATGAATAAATTCCTCAATGCATAAGTAATTGTCAACTCTTTAACTTAAGCATTCCCAAATAAAATGAGACGTCTACATTGGGAAATAAAAAGTACTCCCTTTGTTCCCATTTTATAAGACACGTTTTCTTTTTTAATCTGTCTCAGGAGAAATGAGACCTATGTAAATTTAAAAATAATACAACTTTAAACTTCTCAGTTTACCCTTACTGTCAGATGAGTTATGGCCACATAGATGTATATGGATTATTGTAGACCACTCTGCTTAATCAAATACCACCACATAAACTTGGACGGAGGGAGTCGTAACCTTATCGTAAAAGTACGACACCAAAGCACAACGTACGGCAACTACAGCATGAAGTACAACAGCAAAAACAGCACCCATAACCATAACCTTATACTATCAGAGAACTTCAAAACCCAAGAAGAACAATCAAAACTGGTCGCAAATTAATTACTTACATAAAAAATGACTAAATATACACTTTAAATTCCATATAATAGCCCAATCAGTTAGGAACTAACCAGAAGAAGAGGAGATTGGTAGTGCAGCAGCAGGTGAAGGTGAAGGAATGTTGTGATGTGAGATGGCCTGGGCGGATTTGGGGGAAGTGAAATGGTCAAAGGCGATATGGGCAGCAAGATTTTGGGCTTCTTTGGAGGATCGGCAATGGTCCTTGGGTGACGCAAAGGAGAATCCATTGACGGTAACAGTGGCTGTGAAACGAGGATTGTGATCAGGTCCCTCTTTCTCTGTCCCGTACTCTGGCAAATTCCACCCGTACTGGTGGCAAAGCTCTTGTAGCTTCGTTTTGAACATTCTTTGCGTCTTGAGGGAGTAGGGGCAAGGAGTGATGGGAGGTTCCGTGGAGTTGTACATATATTTCTTTCTTTTTGGAGTAGGGGCATAATAAATGACCATTAAAATGCGAATGGGAAACGGTGATTTATTTTTTATACTCTTCAAATAATCACATTAATGGGAGAAATCAGCAAGTGATTTTTCCAAAAGTGATTAAAAAGCAGTTTATTTTTGGCTAATTAATTTAAAAATTATTTTTGGACAACAATTTATGTTTGCTCAAACTTTTCAAAAAATACTTTTAAGTATCAAATTATGAATAAGTACACGAAGAGATTTGCTTAATAGTTAATGTTATATAAATAGATAAATAATTACAAATATTTATTATTAAAGATAATAATTAAGCTTTTTATTTATTTAAGTAAAATATAAAAATAAAGTTAAAAAATATTTTATTCTTTCAAGATAATTTAAATATATCAAAAAATCATCTAATAAATACGAAAGCTCACCCAAAAGTCATTATATATTACTTAATAGTTTAAACCAAGTAAGGTAATTTTGGTATATATAATATTTTGCTAAGGGAATTTTGAGTAGGAAGAAAAGTCAAAATTGGTTGTACTTCTGCTTCCGGAAGAAGTTACTTTTTTATGCTTCTTAAAAACTATTTCTGCTTCTAGCCAAAAGATTTTTTTTTCCCAAAAAAACTTGGTCAAACACCTCAATTTGAAAAGAAAAAAGAAAGCACTTTTTTTTGAAGAAAAAAAAAGGAGCATTTTTGACTAGCGCAAAAGCTTGGCCGAATAGGCTATAAGTTGCATCCCTTTTAAATAATTTAATGAACTAGTAATACTTAGGACTTATTTCTCAATCCCACATATTTTTGGACTAAAATTGTTATTTTATCCGTTCTACTTTAGGTAAAGGTCATGATCGGACATAATTCAACAAAAAAAGGACTTTCAATATTTATGGTCTAAAATACGTTATAGACATTTATGAGGATCATGTAGATATGGAATCATATATGTAAGGATAAATAAAATATTTAAATTTAAATTATTTATAGTATAGAAAGATGTCATTTTTCACCCATGTGTGCGGGTAAAATCGGGGATAAAGTTACCCTTGATTTTTTCGGAAAGAAACGAGAGGGAGGCACGATATAGTATGACCTCGAATAAAACCAAGGGGTTCCACGTCTCAGAACCCGGGGAGGACGAATGGTGCACGTGGAACCGATACGGCTGAACATCGTGCCCGAGCAGAGTGAAGGTTCGAGACTAAGGGGAAAAAATGTTAAGCACGATCAGCAGGGAGCCGTAATATCTGCCCTCAACCGAATATTACAGCGTGAATCCTGCCCGATATCAACTACAAATCATCATTTACTAGGAAAAGAAGATTTTTACCTTATTTAGACTTGTACTAGGATTGAAACTCCCCTACTATATAAAGGGAAGAACTTTTTTATTTTAAATCCATTGTTGGCATGCATATCAAAGCAATAAAAGTTTATTTTTGTTCTCTAGTTACTGTTCACAGTATTTTTCAACTGCTTAATTATTTGGTTGCAACTGAGCCCGTCTCGAGGGCTTGACTGAAGTCAATCTTTAGTGTTCATCTGAAAGCCATGCTTAGTTGTTCATCGCATTTGCTTTGATCATTTTGCTTCTCTTTACTATAATTATTTTATGTTCATAGATCATTCGTGTTAAATTAAATAACGCATCCTTAGCCTCGTACAAATTTAATTGTTACTCATTTTAAGAGTAAACAGTTTGGTACCCACGGGCTAAGGATAATAGTGGTGATTTAATATGAATCTCCATAATGCACCCTACTTTACACTTGCTCTTTGAAGTTTGATTTTAGGTTAATCTAAAAATGTCAAATTCTCAGTCTACTCACTTGAACATTGACGCCGAGTCGGGCCACCACGGTGAAAATAATAACGTAGTACCCAGCAATGACGTACCTCTTGTTGATCCAAAGGTGTCCCAATTGTTGACCCGGTTGACGCTAACTCACATGTTTCCATCAACATCAACCTTCCAACCAACCCCGAAAATAGCTTCCACGGGGCACCCCGACCATCAGCTCGAGAAACAGCCGAAGAGAAAGGTGATGGAGTTAGCTTGCGATTGATCTTCGAAACGTTACAAGCTCAACAAGTGGCAATAGCACAACAACAGACCAAAGTCACGCCCAGAACAGGACCGAGCCCGAGCGGGTTAGAGAAAATGCTCGAAGGGATGAACAAATTACCGTGGAACCGGACGATCGGGGAAACTTCCGAGGTGATGAAAATGCTCGAAACACTAACAAAGCGGGTGGAGTCTGGTGAGAAAAAGATAGAGACAAATGAAAAGAAGATGGAAACTTACAATTCGAGGATCGATCAGATCTCGGGAGCGCCTCCAATATTGAACGAGTTGGATTCCAAAAAAATTATTCAGAAGCCTTTCCCCTCGAGTGCGGCCCTGAAGCCAATTTCGAAGAGATTTTGAATGCCCGAATTTTCCCAAATATAACGGGACCACAGACCCAAACGAGCATGCAACTTCCTACACATGCGCGATAAAAGGCAACAACCTAAAAGACGACGAGATCGAGTCGGTTTTATTGAAGAAATTTGGGTAAACCCAATCCAAAGGGGCGATGATATGGTACCATAACTTGCCTCCGAATTCAATTGTTTCATTTTCTATGCTTGCAGATACCTTCGTTAAGGCCCATGTTGGAACTATCAAGTCGACACGAGGAAATCGAACCTCTTCAAAGTAAAGACAAGAGACAACGAGATGCTTAGGGAGTTTGTGTCAAGGTTCTAGATGGAGCAAATGGATCTGCCCCCGGTCGCTTCACTCAACGAGATGTTCAGGCGCTCACTCAAGGGCTCAACCCCTGAAGTTCCGTCGCTTCTCAGCAATTGAAGCAAAACGTGGTAGAGTACCCGACGATTAATTGGGTCGATATCTATAACAGGTACCAGTCAAAGATTAGAGTCGAGGATGACTGGCTGGGGGGGCCCTCGGGATTTGTTTACCCCAATAGAGAAAACGACATATCTAAAAGAATTATGGACCAGTAGCCAAGGTCGGTCCGAGATTGGTACCAGCCATACAGCTCGTACATAAGGGGAAACCGGTCCCCACTTAACTAGTAATGACGGGGGAAGCGATCAAGGACCTAACAACCGGGGTCTTATGAATAAAAATGGTTTTGATAGATCACTTAGGGGTAGGAAAGCACCAAGACTATCAGAGTATTACTTAAACGTGAATGTTGCAAGTATAATGTCAGTCATCAGCCACATAAAAAAGACTAAATGCCCTAGGCCACTTCAGTCCGATATGGCACAAAAGGATCACAACTTGGTATGCAAATACCATGGTACTCATGGTCATATGACCGAAAATTGTCGACAGCTAAGGGAGTAAATGGCTCAGCTATTCAACAATGGGCACCTTCGGGAATTCCTAAGTGAACAGGCCAAAAGTCATTCCAAAAATAGGGACGCCAACAAACAGATCGAGCAAGAGGAGCTTCTACAAGTGATCAACATGATCATTGGGGGAGTGGATGCCCCACAATGGTCAATGATAAAATGTACCAAAGTTTCTATCACGAGGGAAAAATGCACACGAGATTACGTCTTAGAGGGGTCTATGATGAGGATGCCAAGGGCATCATCCAGCCTCACAATAATACACTGGTAATATCAGTACTTATTAATAAATCTTTAGTTAAACGTGTGTTAGTTAATCCAAGTAGCTTAGCCAACATCATTCGTTGGAGGGTCGTAGAACAATTGGGATTATTGAAACAAATCATACCAGTAGTACCAGTATTGAACAGGTTCAACATGGCATGCGATATGATGAAGGGTGAAATAACCCTACTAGTAAACACTGTCGGGACCACCTAGGAAACAAAATTCTACGCGATCGAGGGGGATATGAGGTACAATGCCTTATTTGGAAGGCCATGGTTTCACAACATGAGGGCGGTGCCTTCAACCCTTCATCAAGCATTGAAATTTCCCATTCCGGGAGAAATCAAAACGGTCTACGCAGAACAATCAGCCACAAAGGAGATGTTCGTTGTCGATAAAGTAATCTGGTGCCTGCGGTCTTGACATCAAAAAATAGGGGTCTGGTCGAAGAGAAGGAAAACAAATAGCAATCAATGATCTCGACCCCAATCGGGCTAAAAAATAGGAGGAGCACACAACAAATGAAGGGGATGATTATGGTGTCCCGAGATTCTTTATAGAACCCGATGACACCGATGCCACTAAATCAACAATTGAGGAATTAGAACATGTCATACTGATCGAGTACCTACCATATCGAAAGGTATACTTGGGCACGGGGTTAACTCCCGAGCTCAGGAAAAACTTATTGATTTCCTTAAAGTTAATGCCGATTGTTTTGTCTGGTCCCACTTATATATGACAAGGATCACATCAGAGGTGACAACTCACAATTTGAGCTTGGATCCAAAATTTCACCCGGTCAAATAGAAGAGGAGGTCGTAGTCTAAAATCAACACGCATTCTTCAAAGACGAGGTATCTAAACTTTTGAAAATAGGTTCCATCCAAGAAGTTAAATACCCAGATTAGCTAGCTAACGTAGTAGTCATACCTAAAAAAGAAAACAAACTCAGAATGAGTGTGGATTATAAGGACCCAAACAAGTAATGTCCAAAGGATTCATTTCCTTTGCCTAACATCGACCGAATGATCGATAGCCGCATTGGGCCGGTTTATTTCGAGTTCATCAGACAAGAGCAAGTGATTCTTCTCGTTACTAAAGAAGAAGAACGACTTCTCTTGGACCCCAGAATATCAACAAGCTTTAGAAGAACTCAAACGGTACCTATCGAGCCCTCTCTTGCTGCACACTCCGAAGGTGAACAAGCAGTTATACCTCTGCTTGGCAGTTTCTGAGGTAGCGGTAAGTGGTGTCCTGGTTCGGGAAGAAGAAGGTATGCAATTTCCTATTTATTATGTTAGTGGAACCCTAGACGATGCCGAAACAAGGTATCTACACTTAGAAATATTAGCACTCGCCT